TATCTATCTATCTATCTATCTATCTATCTATCTATCTATCTATCTATCTATCTATCTATCTATCTATCTATCTATCTATCTATCTATCTATCTATCTGTCTATCTATCTATCTTTTATCTATCTATCTATCTTGACTTGGGCTCGACCTTGAATCACTCAAGCGAACAACTCTGTGTTTTATGAGTGAAGACTCATTTGCACAGGGCTTAGCCTCGCTTAGAGCAAACCATTTGCAAAAGTAAACTGAATCTCAAAACTTTCCCTTCGGCATCATTTGATTCCTTTGCAAACTTTTTACTTTCATATGCAGACAGAGGAATGACCTTTTAATTAAAGAAATCCCTTTTATTTTAAAAGACACAGTATTGTGGTTTATCGATCTGGTGCACATTATTTGATTGCAGTTCCAGTTGCGAGCAAATGGCATCAAAACGCGTAAAGCCAATTCTGGAAAACGCAAAAAATAAGCTCAATATTATTTGTCACACAAACCGTAGGTATCCTGTTTTGATACTGAACAGACTATGACTAGCACATGACTGTCCCGGGGGGGGTTCGCTCTGGAACAGGGTATATGAAAACACGCTCTCTCCTCTCTGGAACAGAGTTTTCAGCAGTCTTGCTCTGGAACAGGGTATGAATTTCAGCAAATTCAGAGGTTAAGAGGGCTCAGCGACACATCCCTACCCTAAACGGGCAAGAGTACCCCCCCCCCCCCATCCCGGGATGACTGTGAATGGTCTTATCTAGACCCCACCAGACCACGTGACATTTTTACAGTATTTCTGTTTGCTTATTGTACAAGGAATTTACGTTTAGTTACGCCAAACGACTTAAGCACAACTTAAAATGTTACTACAACAATTTTGATTAAATTATTCCCTACTTTGTATTTTTCTCTGGTTTTAAGTTCTGAACTTTCTCTCTCTCTCTCTCTTGCTAGTTAAAAGACCACCATGAAATTGATTTCAACATACTATATTTCAACTGTAGCGTTAGTTATATGTTTGTAATAACATGGCCTAGAGTTTTGTGTTGTCTTCTACCAGCATTTGTTGAAGTCCAACTTCAGCTTTCAGTGACACATTTCGAGGTCTCCCACAACATGGTATCCCATAATCCTCTGTCGCAGCTTCCGCTTCCTCGATGGTCTGGTGCATGGGCGCGAAAAGGGTTTCAGGGACGAATAACGATATGATCCCAGCAGTAAGAGATATTACACCAAAAATAATCACTGGAACTGTCACCCCAAACCCTGGGATTCGAGTCTGTGGAGATCAAAAGTAATAAAGAAAGAGTGTTATATCTGGCATGAGCTTACGAAACAAGGGTGACGTAGCTAGCGGTAGTTCACTTGCGTCTCAACTCTTGGTTTCGCTCAGGGTTGATTCCTGAACTCGGCTGCGCACGTAACAAGAGTTCCTTGATTTTCTTTTTTCCACAAACTAACAATCGAAATTCTAATCTCACGTCTCTCCCCTCCCCCTCATCAAAGCTTGGATTATATATCGTCAAAAAAGTGTTTTCCATTACCAACAAAGCAACGAAAGGAGCTGCTATAGCACCACTACGACCTATGGTTGATCCGGTTCCTTGGGCAGTGTTTCTGTCGAAAAACAAGAAGACAAGCCACTTATGTTGATGACAGACAGTTTTAGCGTGAAATCAGTGGCAAAAGTAACAAAGCAAGTTTGTAAGAGAATAAAACACAACTACAATAACAATTAAAAACCGCTGCAACAGAAGCTTCAGGAAACATTGACGAACTAGCGTCAATCAAGAGAAATTGTTTTATACGTTTATATACTTTGACTGACAGCAGGTTTTTTTGCCTGATTTCCTTGCTGCGACTGTTGTCTCGGTCAGCGCGAAGTAATGAAAACATTGGTAAGCTGGTACAATTATTGAGACTTACGTACCTGATGACTGTTGGGTAGATCTCGGAAGTTATCATGWATATTGTAGTCCACAAACCGAACGTTATCCCAGCTGCTCCCAAGAACAGTCCTGATTTGATCATGGCGTATTCTGAACAAAATACTAAATCAATTTATTTGCCTCGAATTAAGTTTAAAAAAATATTTTTCGTTTTATGAATTACGAGCCTAATGATATCGGAAACCAGATTCGAATTATTCAATAGTGTTTATCACTATTTTGCAACACTCTACCATTCTACATATCACAAGAAAAAGCTCGAACGGCATGTTAGTTGTATGCTTGAAGCAAGTGAAGATTCAGAACCAAAAGCTCTATGGAATTTGAGAGAAAAATTGCTAATTTATAAAATGAAGCATCAATATGTAATTTTTTACTCCCTGCTATATGTTGTGAGGTTTTGGTAGCCTTCTCTCGACTTCCAATTCTTCAATTTCTCGAAACTGCCTGGGTCAATAAGATACTCACTGTTAGGTATCGCAAGCACAAGAAGGCATTGTACTCCAATCAGGAACAACACAACAGCGTGGGTAATACGACGACCAAACCTAAAAATACATTTTGAAACATTTTTTTTTTTTTGGTATCGTAAAGTACAAAGACCTCTTTTCTTGGGCGTAATCAGTTTTCCCATTTCAGACCACGTGTCCTTCTCTTGAGAATAAGTTTTTTTGTATTTAGATGTATCCATATATGCACAACCACCACTTAACGAAGTCATGATACTCTGGAAAATGACACGTGTTATGAAATGCAAACATTACGCCAAAGATAAATAAGAGGTCTATAGTCAAACCCTTTGTCAAGCAAGATAAATGTATGGAATGTCAAGTAGGAATGTCGCATCATGATGGTTTTACATTTTCAGGACGATCCAGAGTATTGGCTGTTGCAGTGTAGCGATAACTTGCATGATAGTGAAGTTCAGGTAGATATTTCCTGACAGATTGGTGATGTAAAGGAATAAGGCGTTGCTTAGGAACGATATGGCAAACCTGGCAAAGAAAAAGACAAACTTTTACTTTGACAAAGGACAAAGCATATTCATAGTGTTTAAAAAATTTCCTTCTTATTCGCGCTAGTTGTATTCGATTCAATAACCTCTAGTCGTTATCAAATAATCGCTAAAGGCAATTTATCTGTTTATCTATTTCTCTTTCTAAATTTTATACCTTCATAAGCCTTACTTTCTGTTCATAAAAGAAGGGAGTTGTCAACCGCTACAGGTGTGTGCATGGTCTATTATTCAGATGAGCTGTAGTTTTAACTAAATCCTTAATGCATGAGGAAAGTTTGAAAATCTGACCTTCAAACAATTATTCGCATGTCTCTATCATTGCAATCTCACCGTTCGTCTCGCTTCGATGCAAAGGCACACCTACCTTTCAAGATGGCGCAGGGAACTATGAAAATGACTATTGCGGGGCACGCGTAATACACATATTCCATCGTAATTATGCGTGTTGGGTTTTATCGGAAAAGAAAACCGCAGAACCCGTAGAAAAACGGAAAGTTTAATAGTTTAATTTACATTAGGATATAAGAAGATGTTTACATCCTGGAACTTATATACAGTGAAATACAGTTGCCACCATCGCTCGAGAATCTTAAAATGAATGTRTTTTATAGTTAGTAAAAGGCTTACCAGTTAAATCCTAATGCAGCACTCCATTTGCGAAGCTTTGGTGTTCGAAAAAGCATTCGCGGATCAGATCCTTTAGTTTCTTTTTGTTTTTCTATTTGTGTTTGTCTCACTCGTGAAATGAGATTCTTTAAGCGCTCCTCATCTATGTCTTCGTTTTTTCTGCCTGCATACTTCAGCAAAATGAAATGTGCCTCTTCTAGGTGATTATGTGCAACAAGCCAGCGAGGAGATTCTGGGAAAATCCTACAATTAAAATATTTACTTAGCAGCTGAATATTACGCTTTTTTACATACCATTCTTTGCTTCTTGTTTTCTGAGTAAAGCCCGGGTTCTGAGTAAAGTTCCGGGTAAAAATAGAATAAAACTAATATATATATTTAGGCACTGCCTAAAAGCGGAGCTCCCGATACGGAAGTAACAGGGAGAACAATTTGAATGAAACTGAAAGGTGAAAATAAGATCGGGGAAAAAATCTTCAATTATTTTTTATTCGAAATGATGATAATTTCTCCCATAATAAAAACCATGCAGTGAAATCGAATCGAAATGCACTACATCGTTTTTTGTTTTTCTGTTTATTTGCGCGAGTATACTCTCCCACTTAGGAATTTTGTACACAACTTACCACCACCCCCAGGGGCTAGTTTTGTTCTTG